CCACACGTTCATATCCTTATTGAATAGGCCTAACCATTTAGTACAGAATCAAGCGCCAACTTTACCCATATATTTAAATGTGCTGGACTTACATTTCATTTTTATAGGGAATTAGATATAACATCTGATTCCTTGACTTGAATTGCTTCTAGGTTGGGAATCAAAAACTCAAACTTTAATATAGCCCAGATTATGACATTCAAGTGTGAAATGGGCATATGGTAGGAGTGATAAATTTGAAAGCACAGGCTAACTTCAAAGACACAGCAGATATTCAATACCAGTCAACTATTTTCATGCAAGTGTGTGGGCCTACATTCTAGATTTTCTAACTTCTGGGGAAAAGTTCTGGATTTTAATATGTAATCTATTTTTATATATTAATTTATTTTTAATTTAAAAATTTTTATTGATACCTATTAATTGTACATGTTTGTGGGTAGAGATGATATTTTGATACCTGCACATAATGTATAATGATCAAGTTAGGGTCATTGTAGTATCCATCACCTCAAACATTTATCTTTTCTTTGTGTTGGGAACACCTAATTCTATGCTTTAAAAGACCCATGTGATCTAAACAAAAACTGCCAAATTACTGATGACCCAAAGAAGACCTGTGAGGAATAGTTCTGGAGTCTTAAACTCTAGATACCAGAACAGTTGACGTTATTAAATATCCCTGATTTACCATTTTGAAATTGAAAAAGACCTCTTGATTATAGTGTATAAATACTTGATTATTTTTATATTGTATAAATTCTTCATTTATGTTAAGTTTACCTCCCCAAAGGAAGTAGTACTATAAGAATACTGCAAACACTATGATAAAAATAACAGAGCACTTTCAAGTAAGGTTATTTTGACCTTCAGTTTGTTTTCAGGTACCTAGTAAAGAATTGTGGCCAATATATATCCTAAAAAAATATAGAGTATTACCATGTATATTTTAAACTAGATAATATCAAGGACAATTTCCACTTAATATCTTATCTTTACTCAGTACAGACAGCCTTATCAATTAACAGTTTAAGTAAAAAGATGCTCTAGTATAAATTAGACAATAAATATCATTTACACTAATGTGTTACATAGGGTATTTGGGAACAAAAAACAAAAATTTTCTCACAAAGAGCTTACAACTGTAATCTATAATTAAAAGGACAGAATGATACAGTAAGTTATATCGAACAAAAATAGATTTTAAAAATTGTGTACATACACATCTCTACATAAATAGATCGAGGTGTATTACAATGAAGATCAACAGAGAAATCAAAAATTATATATTTACATATGGATATTAATAGAGTGATTAATTATATAACTCAGACTAGCAGAGATTTTGCTTCCACACTGAACCTTTCCCTCAACTTAATTTCTCACTTTGCATGGCTTCCTTTTTCTCTCTGCTTCCGGAAATATGTGAAGAGGGTTCTCCTAGCTTAAGGACATAACCTCAGACTTGTTGGTCCTTCACTAATTTTAATTACTACCTTTTACAACAAAGTTTATAAAAAATCAGATTTTTGTTTTCTCCCTGAATTTTTGTTAGTGGTGAAAGATCTCTGACATGTGATTTGCAGCTGAGGAATGTGGCTCCCAGCCAGAATCTTATGTGGGATCTTTCTGGCCGGAGCGTAGGCAGTTACAAAGGCTTTGTCTGGCACACCTCATCACATTGTATTTGGTGGGAGAAAGGTGCCCTCATCACATTGTATTTGGTGCACAGTTTGGAGGAATTGAATCTAGCACTCAGGTCCCCTGGCCAGCCATGCTCTTGTGCATATCTACATTTATAGCCCATGCAACTCCACTCAGGGGCCTCCTTTTAGAGGGCGTTAGGTGCCTCTCCTGAGACCACCTTATTCAAGGGACTTGGAGACCACTTTTCTCCACTATGTCTCAGTATTCAGTACTTTTCTACTGCTAGCCATTCCCTTCTCCCTTCCACTGTCTCTTGTCCAAAGAAAAACCCTTAGGAACCTTTTGTGCAGAAGTCCCTAAGTAATGAGACAAATGCTCACTTCTGCAGTGATACTTCTGACCCTTGCTCAATGCCATTCCGTGGGGAAAATGGAGCATTGATAGAGCAGGCACCTTCTCTCTGGCCTCTTGCTTATACTATAGCAGTAAATGAATACGGACTTAATTATTACTTCCATTTTGGCTGCTGTTTAATTGGCCGCTGTGACATCTGGCAGCTCAGCTCTCTCCAGCTCAGCTCTTAACAGTAGCTTTCCATGCTGTAATGGAAATAGCCCCTAAAAGTCATGCACATACTGATGTTCAGACCTACTACACTGCTTGCTTGTTATTTATTATCTCTCTGATTTATTTGAGATGCTTGACAGTCACCTCTTCCCATCCCCCTAAAAGTCTTACAGTTTGGAACTCCTCATGACTATAGAAAGGGCATGATGATTAGAATCAGACTGTTTTGAATTTTGAATCTGCTTTCTACCTCATATAAGAATAAGTCACAAAGAATCTGTGGACCTTAATTCCTGTCGTAAGTCACAAAGAATCTGTGGAGCTTAATTCCCATGTGTTTATTGTAATAAAGACATAATATTACTACTACTGATACTTCAAAGAATGTTTTGAGGATTAAACATAAAATGTATGTTGTGAGCTCTTTTGAAAATTCTACAAAACCATAAATTTATTTGGAAGAGTTTACTCCTAGTTCTGTGACTGTTCTCTCATTACTATCCTTCCTTTTCCCATTTCATTACAGAAGCCCTCTCCAAAATAAATCTTCAGGCTTTCTTCATTTTTCTCTCCATTACCTTCCTCTTAGGTCGTGATGAATGCAATATTCTATTTAAAATATCTAAAAATGTAATATTTCAGTAAAAAAACATCAAATTAAGCAATGCAGAATCTAAGGACTATCACATAGGAAAACCAACTCTATGTTTTAATTTTAGAAAAGTTATTGTGAAATGATCTTATCATCTTAACAAAACACCATTTTACAAATAAATTTCAAGTATACTTTTTCCTTTCCTCATGCCTTTCCTCTTAGGATATTTCTCTTTCTGTCATTCCTTTACAGCTGCTGCACGATATGTCTGATCATGAGCAACACGGGTTTCAGAGATGCTCATCCTCTTTCTGGCGTAGTAGTGGTGATTCATCTCCCTGTCTCAATATTTCTTCCATGTCTGTCACTCCTGTCAACTCACCTGATTCCAGACTATCACTGGGACTGTTAATACCACCACCTTCTAAATGTGGCTTTCCCAAGCCAGTCAGTGAGAGCAGCATCCCAAGACCGCATGTAATTTGCTAAGCAGATAATTCTTTTTATTATCCGACTTATTTTGTTTAAATTCTGCCAAAATGTGCTATTTATAAAGTTATCAAAAATTTAGATGTATCTTGAATCAATGTGATGTGATCTGGAGGCTTTGTGTGCCATTTTTGTTTTCTTTGATTACCTGATACCAGAAAGTTTCAAGTAGAGGGTGGTGCCAGTGTAGAAATTTACAAAAATATAAAGTAATACAGATACTTCAAATGATTTATCAGATATCACTATTGGCAAATTAGATCATTGGTAAAAGCAATTTCAGCAGAGTTCAGTGCAAAAAGAGCAAATCTAGATTGATAAGAGTTAAAGATAGAATGAAGTAAATCTTAGGACAGAAAGTGTAGTATCTCTTTCAAGGAGCTTAGCCTTAAAGGAAAAAGAAAAAGAAAATAGAAATTGGGAGATTAAAGAGGGACAGAGTAAATAAATTTTTGGTTGGTTTGTTTTGCTTTTAATGACAGCCAAGATTTTAGAATTTTTGTATCATGAAAAAGAGTAGAGAGATAGAAGTGAGAGGGGATACAGGAATGGGATAATTAGGGGAATAGTATTGCTGAGTAACAGGAATAGGGTGAGGGGATACAATAAACAAATTGTTAAAGAAAGGAGGATGACAGCAATTTTCCTGCACGAAAAATAATGTACTAACAATTATTTTAGCTGAATAGTAAACCCATCACTCTACACACAGTAAGCCTGATTTTTTCATCACCTGCATTATCTGTAAATCAGAAAATTAAACGTATTCTGAGAATTCTAATTTTAATATGAACCACTCAAAGCAATCTCTGTCCAAGTTCTCACAGGAAAAGCAAATTTTTCATCACTATTCCCCCAAAATGGAAATTCTCTTTCTTTTATCCCTGATCAAGTGAGATGGTTTTCAAAGGAGATTATACGTATATACATATTGTTCCCTGTTTTACAAAGTGATGAATGTCTAATTTTGATATTACTTCTCGGCTATATTTTCATGAGGTTTTCATTTATCTTTCCCTATATGTATTTAGTCCTGACCCAGACTGTATCAGAAAACTCAATGATTTGGGCAGTACATTGGTGATTATTAATTTAGTTTTTATAAGATAGCTATTTATTACAGAAAACTTGATGAAATCTTTCAAGAATAAAATGTACTGCAATGAATATCAGTTGGTTGCCACTGTTGTTATAAATACAAACTAAAATATACTCTACTTTTGAGAATGCAAAAAAATCAATTGCATTTGAATGTTTATATTTAAGAAGGCAAGTCACTTATGTCTAATTTTTCCTGTTTGAAATGTTATCTTATGCAGAGTATCTTACTGAAATCATATTTTTATATGAATAGTTTCTACTATATCTAATTCTCTGTTATAAGTAGCAATCATTTCTATATATCCAAAAAATTCACTGTATCTTTTATATTCATCTGGAATAATATTGTTACCATTTTGCCATCATCTTTGAGAGCATTTTTGCAGAAATGTTCTATTGCTTTCTTCTAAATGAGCATTTAACATAATTAGTGGAACCACATGAAATTGCAAATACTTAACTATTTTCGGTCTACAAAATGGCAAATTCTTATGATTCAACTGAATTTGCTGTTTACATATATTTTATATGCATGTGAAATATTTAGCATTACAATGTGTCTATATGAAATACTACCCTAATTCATTTATTTTCATTGCAGGCAGGCAGTATGACACCTCAGTCGCCCTCCACTGACATCTTTGATATGATTCCATTTTCTCCAATATCACACCAGTCTTCAATGCCTACTCGCAATGGCACACAGCCACCTCCAGTACCTAGTAGATCTACTGAGATTAGTAAGCTTTCTCAACAAATCAATGTTTCTTGTTATAGTTGTGTACATTTTAAATATATAATTAAGACTTTGTGGGAAATTACATATCTTAACAACTTTACTTACAATTTCAATTATTGAAGTATTATTTTTATATATGTATAAATTTCCATTAATTCTATTTTACTTTATAATTCAGACTGCACTACTAACGATATCTCTACTTGGAACTTTTACCCATTATTTGAACAATTATGTTTTGATGTATTACTTCATAATAGAAAATATTTAATTATATATCATTGTTTTGGGTTATATTTTTAATATTTTACTTTAATTATTAAAAACAACTGGTAATTTTATTAATGATTTTTTACATGTTTAATAGAGCTACTTAAAATATGTTTGTTCATAGGGCTTATGGACTTTTTTAGTTAAAAAATATATGAATTATATGAATGTTGTGATTTATTAACCTTTTGTAAGGGTTCTTTCCTATCTAAAATGCTATAAATTCATTGCTTTTCTGTTTTATCTTTTATATATCTGGAAGGAACATTAAAGTCTATTTTTGATTAATTAGAAAACACCTAATAGATGCTCATTTTCAATATTTTGGCTGTAATACATATCCATCTGTGCCTTGTGACAGAAACTGAAAGCATAATTCTCAATGGTCATGAATCAGTCACTATGTCTAAAAGGAAACTGAAGAAAAGAGGGTTTTACACATTCTACTTGATTGCATTCTCTCTAGCTTATATTAAATCATTGTGAATATAACTCTGAAGTTTTAGCTTAAGACTTTAGTACATGGCAGGGCCATATTATATTCATTTCCCCTAAGGAACTTAAAATACATTGCTCATGTTAGGTATTCAATTTATTTTAGAGGACTAATTTGTAAATACAAGGTAATAACACTAGTGTATCAGTCAGTTTTCACACTGCTATAAAGTTGCTACCTCAGACTGGGTAATTTATAAGCGAAGAGTACAGTTCTGCATGGATGGAGATGCCTCAGGAAACTCAACGTCATGGCAGAAGATAAAGGAGAAGCAAGGTACATCTTATATGGCAGCAGAAGAGACTGTGTGCGCAGGATAAACTGCCACTTTTAAACCATCAGATGTCATCAGAACTCCCTCTCTATCATGAGAACAGTAGGGGGGAAACTTCCCACATGATCCAATCACCTCCCACCAGGCCCCTCCCTCAACATGTGTGGATTACAATTTGAGATGAGATTTGGGTGGGGACACAGACCCAAACCATATCATTCCACTCCTTGCCCCTCCCAAATTTCATGTCTTTTCACATTTCAAAACCAATCATACCTTTGCAACAATCTCTCAAAGTCTTAACTTATTCCAGCATTAACCCAAAAGCCCAAGTCCAAAGATTCATCTGAGGCAAGGCAAGTCTCTTCCACCTATGAGCCTGTAAAATAAAAAACAAGTTAGTTACTTGCAAAATACAATGAGGATACAGGCATTGGGTAAATATTTCCATTCCAAATTGGAGAAATTGGCAAAACGAAGGAGCCACAGGCCCCATGCAAGTTTGAAACCCAATGGGGCAGTCATTAAGTCTTAAAATTCCAAAATTATCTCATTTTACTCCATGTGTCACATCCAGGGCACGCTAATGCAAGGGATGGGACCCAAGACCTTGGGCAGCTCCACCTCTGTGACTTTGCAGGGTACAGCCCCAATGGCTGTTTTCACAGGCTGGCATTGAGTGCCAGGCACACAGTGCAAGCTGTTGGTGGATCTACCATTCTGGGGTCTGAAAGACGGTGGCCCTCTTCTCACAGCTCCACTAGACAGTGCCCTAGTGGGGACTCTGTGTGAAGGCTTTAACCCTACATTTCTCCTCTGCATTGCCCTAGTAGAGGTTCTCCATGAGGGCTCTGTTCCTGCCACAGACTTCTGCCTGAATATCCAGGCATTTCCATACATCCTCTGAAATCTAGGCAGAGGCTCCCAAAGCTCAACTTTTGTCTTCTGTGCACCTGCAGACCCAACACCAAATGGAAGCCACCAAGGCTTAAGGTTTTTACCCCATGAAGCAATGGCTTGAGCTGTATCTTGGCCCCTTTTAGCCACAGCTAGAGCTGGAATGGCTGGGATGCAGGATACCGAGTCCTGAGGCTGCACAGAGCAGCAGGGCCCTGGGCCTGGCCCATGAAACAATTTTTTCCTCTTAGGCCTCTGGACCTTTGATGGGAGGGGCTGCTGTAGATGTCTGATATGTGCTGATGACATCTTCCCCATTGTCTTGGCTATTACCATTCAGCTCCTTTTTACTTATGCTAATTTCTGCAGCAGGCTTGAATTTCTCCTTAGAAAGTGGGTTTTCTTTTTCTACCACATAGTCAGGCTGCACATCTTCCAAACTTTTATGCTTTGCTTCCCTTTAAAACATAAGTTCCAATTTCATATTATCTCTTTGTGAATGCATATGACTGTATGCTTTTACAAAAAGCCAGGTCACATCTTGAATGCTTTGCTGCTTAGAAATTTCTTCTGCCAGATACCCTAAATCATCTCTCTCGAGTTCAAAGTTCCACAGATCTCTAGGGCAAGGGTAAAACACGGCCAGTCTCTTTGCTGAAGCATAACAAGAGTGCTCCAGTAACACCTTGATAGCTTTTTCAATGTCTACATATTCCTGAGTATCAAAGTTTAATAAATATAGACAGAGAAATAGAGATTATATAGACATAATCTATATAAGTGAGTCCCTCCAAGTCATTTCTTGTCATTTTGTTTACTAAATTTTTTTCTTCCTTTTACAACGGGATGGGTTTGAAGCGGAACCTTTTGACCAAATCTTCCCTTTCATTAATTCATTTTTTAACAAACACCTACTAGGTGAAAAGCATTATTCAGTATGCTTATGGTGTAGTGGAAACCAGGACGTTTCTCTGAAGAAAAGATCCTTTGAAAGCTAAATTTCAATTGATTGCCTGAGCAACACTAAACTGAAGAAAATAAATAACAGCAATAGTAATACTCATCAGTTATATATACGGTAACAATAAATTCCCATTTTATTAGGATAGCCCTGGCTTATAGATTTTTACCCAGTGTAACTATTGAAAATGATCCTTTTACTTTTAAAAGTATCTGCATTTGGATGAAAAATTATATGTTCCCCTTATTTATACAATACCTGCAAGTACAAGGAGCTTGTAAAAATTTCACATTTATTAACTTATTTAATACAAGAATCTGGAAAAAAAAACATGAAGACTGGAAAAGTAAGACTCCTTCACAATGAGAATCACAGAGTGATTTTAGAGGATATGGCAGAAATCAAGTAGCATAAATATTATTTCTTACATGGCATTGAATTTAGAGAATGTAAAGTTCTCTGCAAAATGAAGGTATGAATATGTTATAAATACCCATTTTCATATATAATTTAATGTTTTTCCAATTAAGGATACATTTGAATTGATTCGGAGGAAAGAAATTCCTGAAGAATGTTTTATTTTAAAAATCCCATAATAGGCCCAAATCTATCAATTACAAACATCACTTTCAACTTTGATACTTCTTTAGTGATAAAAAAAAGTAGTGCATACTTTAGAACATATGTACAGAAAGCTTTTTTGACACTGCATCCCTGCTGCTTTTAAAAAAGAAATGTATTTCTGGGATAGGAGGCATTTTTAAAGAAACTATCTCATTGTGACTATCTAGAAAGGTGATATTTCATACTACATGAGACAATGTGCTTTAAAATTTTCTCTGGATGAAAGGGGAGATAAGAGTACATGAACTTTGAGTAGAGCTACTTAGAAGTCTACTTAGTCCTACATATTGCTTAACTATTGTGTTGCAAGGCATCAATCAATGGAATTAGGGTAGCCTCAATGAGTAGCGCATTAATTTTAGCAAATTTAAATTGCTTCAATAAAATATAGGTGTTGTAACATATTAATTATCAGCTCTTTGGTGAATTTGATAGTAAGAAATCTTCATTAAAAACACAGAAATCTCTCTAGATAATAATTCTTTATAATAAAACTTTTTAATATCATAAAATGGGTCTTTTCTTCCTTATTAATGTTTAACTTGTCTAAGCTCAGGAAAGCCCCACATACAGTGTAAGTGTGGATTAGTGGTTCATTTGATCATGTAAATATTCATTTATATAATCCTGCCTTTGAAATCTAACTCACTCCAGCTCACTTGTTATTTCATTTACTAAATTATTTCCTTCCTTTTAGAACGGGACCTGTTTGGAGCAGAACCTTTTGACCCATTTAACTGTGGAGCAGCAGATTTCCCTCCAGATATTCAATCAAAATTAGATGAGATGCAGGTGACTATTGTGACTGACTGGCCCATAAATGATTTATTTCATTTTGATATGGAACAAAGAGAATGTTATGTACCAAAACTGTGGTTTCCTTTAATTATTTTCACTATAAAAACTCACTTAAAATAATTACTTTAAAATAATAATGTACAGTTAGTCCTAAAAATACTCCTACAATTGCTAAGGATAAGGTCGTTGGTTTTTTTAATGGTTCAATTTACAATGGCAATAAGATGGTTCATTTTTTTTTTAATACAAAATGGCATGGATTCTAATGGTTCATTGTTTTGAAATCTAGAGTTAAAAAGTCATTGCATTAGATTTATAAGATTTGATCTCAGTCTTAACAATTACGAATTTGAAAATTGTAAATGGGTAGATGAGGGAAAATCTTTGTAAGATTGAAATTATTCTCTCTGAAAAGAAGCATTGTAGCTGTAGTTCATAACTTTTGGGCTTTTATTTTAAAAGCAGACACCCAGTGACAACTTCTTTAGGAATGTAGTTCAGTTGGGTTTTCATTTCTCTCTCTTCCTTTTACTTTTTTGTTCTAAATTGGTCTGCAGTTTACAGAAATTGGTTTTAAATGCTTTGCACTATGGGCCATGATTTAAAAATAGTCTTATAAACCCCAGAATAAAGTCTTCTCTTTATATTTGCCCTTTACATTTTGGTGAAGTTATTATATCCTATTTTTCATCAAAAAGTTTATATATGGTAGAATCCAGACAGACACCAATTATATGAAGCTGATTGAGAAGAGACAATGAAGACACTAAAGTAAGGAGAATGAGGTATTTTTGTTTATTAGTCTTGGCTTAATACATTCATTCTCAATGCCTCACTTCCTAGAAAAAACAATTATAGGTGAACTCTGATCTATCACTGATAATTACAATCCTTCTTATAAAGTTAATTTAAATGCCCTTTTACTCATTTTTGACTGCAGCTGTGTAGCTATCTCATTTTCTGTGTAATACATGAATTAATTATTGTTCTAGATGTAATAACATGCCTGAATTTAAAAGTTGAATTACTTAACATATGCCTTCAGGTTGTCAAAGAATCTGTTGAAATAGTGTTTCTCAAGTTGAATGATTCTTAATCCCCTTTTACATAAAAAATTATTTTAGATCCTTAGTATTAACTTACAATTTTTAGATATTGACAAAAATATTATAAACAACTTGTCTTATAGTTTTTATAAAATTATGAATTCAATAAATTATACATTAAATGAAAGTCAAATTGCAACTCTAGTAGAGGATGGATGATCTTATTTGGTTGAAACTAAAACCACCTTTTAAAATTTCTATTGATTTCAACATGTATACTGTTTGATGGCACAGATTTCCTACTTCTTTTCTATATTTCAAATACTATGAAACTTTCAAATGGTGCATGATAATTTATCAAGAATGCTGTATTTCATATGAAGTCAATTCCTTTCCTTTTACACTAGTTTTACCCATTGGACATGTACTATCTGGTACTAATGCTTTTGTAGTAACAAAGAAATATTTATGTGGTAGTATTTATTCTCAAGGGTTACACAGGTAATACAGAGTACTTTTCTATGAATTTTTTAGATTTTCCCAAAATTGGGAAAAAAAAATTATTGAGTTTAAAGGATAAGCCTCTATTTCCAGATTTTGTTGGAACCAAGTGTGAGACGCACTGTATTGGGATGATTGAGTGATGTGACACTCAAATAATGTTAAACTGTGATGTTTTTGCTTTTGCTGTTTCTAATATTTTCTTAATGTCTTTTTTAATTCTTTACTGCTTTCATGGTGGGTAGCGCCAGAGATGGTTGGTATATTATTTTTATAACAATTTTAAACAACTTACAAATTTTTAAAGCTGAAACCTTAAAATTTGCATGCTTTATTTAATAAAAATTCAAACAACAGCTTCATATGGGTATATCTGATAGTTATGCTTAAAGAGGTTTCATAAAACATATTTTAAGATTATTTTTCAATGACTTAGTCACTATTGCATTGTTCACTTTATTGTTTTTTCTTTCTTTTCTTTTCTCTTTTCTTTTCTTTTCTTTTCTTTTTTCTTTTCTTTTCTTTTCTTTGAGGCAGAATCTCACTCTATCGCCCCACCCAAGCTGGAGTGCAGTGGCGTGATCTTGGCTCACTGCAACCTCCACTGCCCAGGCTCAAGCAATCCTCCCTCCTCAGCCTCCTGAGTAGCTGGGACTAGAAGTATGCACTACCACGCATGGCTAATTTTTGTATTTTTTGTTAAAAATAGGGTTTCATCATGTTGCCCAGACTGTGCTTGAACTGCTGGGCTCAAGCCATCTACCGACTTAGGCCTCAAAAAGTGCTGGGACCACAGGCGTGAGCCACCATACCTGGCCATGATTGTTTCTTTTAGTCCAAGATTTAGTGGCAAGGTCACTTTAACAAAAGTAAAATAATATTTTCTTCATCTAAACTCTATGATGGCTTTTATTATTAATCTTGCTAGCCTAATGAATCTAATGCACACATGTAGCTACTATATCTTTGCGTATCCTATAAAAACTTAATATAGTGCAGTGGATTGTGAATACCATATTGAGTTAATAAGCTTAGTGAGACATTTAGTTTTCATCTTTCATTTAGAGTATTGTGACTAAGCTACTTTTAAGAGAATTGAATTATTAAGTTTGAAATCACAGAAATGTCTCATGCATGTAAGCATTTATGCAGAAATGTTAAACCATATTTCAGTATAAGCAGTTAGAAAATTAAACATTTATTTGAAATCAATAATGTAGCTATTTGATTTCACATAATTTAAACTGTCCAGCACATGTTACCAACAGGAAGCTAAGTGGAATAGTATTGATAGGCCACACTGTAACATGTAAGCTATAATAATTTAATACATTAAAAAACAAGCATGGCAAGTTCGTAAAGGATGAAAAAATCACGTACAAGTGGTGTTAAGTCAGCTGGCTAGTACTCTGGGAGAAGATCAATGTACTGCTGAAACTTACAGCAAATGCCGAGATAAATTTCAGAAGTAATCAACATTTTAAGATGTTTAAAATATTACTGAATATTCATCAGACTTTTGAATTGATAAGAAAATTTTATAAGAAAAAGAAAAATATAGACATATAGTATCCAATTTTTTAACATTTACTGTCTAAAAATATATAAATACATTACATATATGTAATTAAAGCAATTAGACAAATGACTAGGAAACTAAAGAATCAACAGATAAATAAAAAGCTTCACAAAAGAAGACCACCAGTGGCTTACACATATGTAGACATGTTCTGTCTAATCAAAGTAAACATACAAATCAAATAAAGAACTGTAATGCCATTTTAATCTAGCAGATTATTTTTTAAACTAATAATCAATCAATACAAATGAAAGTGTAATAAAACAAGTACTGTAAATTGTTGGCAGGCCAGAGTTAGTTCAGAGGTAACTATGGCCTAGCAATCTCTTTAAAGAGTAACTTGTTATTAATACTTTTATTTCTATTTGATATCAAAACTTTAAAGCAATCTATTCTGAAGAAAAAGTAATTATAAATGTGTTCAATCTCTATGAATAAAAATACCTAGTCAATATTATTCATAATTTTAAAATGCTGGGAAGCAATCATTGTAAAAATTAATAGCATTTTATATAGTCATAATAAATTAGTTTTGTGGGAATTTAGAATAATCAAGGTCTGCAAAGATGAAAAGAGGAAGATAGAAAACTATATATGTAATAAATTACTTACATAAGAAAACTATATGGCATAAATATATGGATATTCATGTTATCATTAAAATCATTTTTAAAATTCTATAGATAGAAAAAAAGACATACCTCAAAGTGCAGTGGTTTTTCCTTCCTTGATATGCTTTTCTATTTCAAAATAAGAAAATTCATAAAAATATTACATATAAAACTCATATGGTGAATAATATTTTAATTAATCATTCTTTTGTGTGACATTAGCTTATGGTAATTCCCATCACTGCATAAATAAAGTATCATTTTTATTAAGAGGTTTGAAGCTCAAGAGGATATGGAATGATTTGGAGTTTATTAAATTGTGATTTGCAAAATGGGACTTACGAAGAAGACAGGAAATGTGTGGGAAATTTTATCTTAGGAAAAAAGAAAATCAACAAACCTTATATTATGTAAGAATCCCTAAAAAGTCAATATAGAGATAGATATTATCGTAAATCATATACTAACACTTTATTATTAAAATAGTAATTAACCTCTATTTTACTTTGACTGCTATTCTGCTTTTCCAATATTGATAACACGTTGACAAATAGTATTTTCAGTGTAATTGAAGTGATACTGGTTTACTAGCAGAATGAACTGATAAAATTTAAAAGTACCATATGGTATCAAACATTTCCACACTCTTTCTATCTGTCATTATCTGTCTATCAATGTATCATCTCTCTACCATTTATAGTATACCAGAAGATGACATAATACACAAATCTTCAGATATCCAAATAAAATAATTTTAAAGAAAAGTTTACTTACAGTATTATGAAGTATTTATTTTTCTAAGTATTTGCTGGCTGTTTGAGAAATATAAATAAATATGACAAAATGTATTTTGTGATAAGAACAGATTTTTAAAAAATAATGATAAGTACTCTCATATTTACTCAACTAAATAAAGATTGTATTCCAAGTACTGGAAAGACTTCTGAAACCTTTCACAATGATTACATCACTATATTGCTGTATAGTAGTAGTCTCTGTGCTATAAACATAATGAAGAATGTTCTTTGAACATTAATAACAAAGTGTGGCTTACAGCTTTGTAACTGCCTTCCTCCTCCATATGATGATGTTTACACTGGATTTAGAGAAAGATAAGAACATTTACATAACTATTCTAAATAAAAATAATTTGGGGAGATGCAAAAAGATACACAATTAGCTAACATACAAGTAAATATAGTCAGTCTAATTGAATAAAACACCCAAAGCAGAGGTGAAAACCAATGGTTACCTTTAAGAGGCATTTTCTTTTCTTTAGGAATACACTGCTATCTGCATATTATTTGCCAATAATGTGTCACATGGCCACTCGAAATTACAAATTACCTTTCTGAAACATTTCAGTTCTGTTAGTAAGAAAAAAAAGGTAGAGTATATAGAGAGCACTACCACATTTGCTTCTACAAGGAGATTTACAATGTAACCTCCACTTTCATGGATCAGTGCAAGTCTGTGCTTTTCATCTTTTTGTAGGCCCATGTGTAGAGATTTACAAGAAAGGGTAGGAATGAGGAAAGGTGGTAAGAAGAGATGACCTGCAGTTCAATTATATTATGCAATTAAAACAATAGAGAGATTGGAGTGGAGAAGGACCGACTCCTTTGCCATTAACTTTTAACTCAAAATCTTGGTGGAAAAACACTTTCATAGCAATTGTGTTGTTACACTCAATAAATCAAAGACAACTTAACTTCTAAAATATGCAAGGGAGAGTAGGAATCAAAGAAGCCAGTCCGCTACAAGCGACAGCAAGGCTAGTAGGGGAAGTTTTCTCCATGGCAAAATAATCTGCAGTTGTATGTTCCACAGAGGATATGGCAATCCATTTAAAAGAAGTATTTTACCAAGGCTCTGGTCAGTGCTAACCGGGAAGAAAAGGTGAAAATCATCAGGATATCTTGAACCTCTCATCAATTTGAAGTCTAACTATCTTAATAATATTTAAATTAATAATAATTTTTAAAGCTAACAGATTTCATTGCGATAGAATGATGTAGTAACTAACCTTTCCTGAAAAAGAAACCTGTGTCTTAATTTTATGTATTTTCTTCTGTCTCTCATGCATGCTAACCTCACATATATTTAAAACATTAAAGTGTTAATGGGTCTGAAAGAACTACCAGTGCTTATACACCTATATAAAAATTCAACAAGTCAACATTTTACATATAGTTATTATTAGTTGATCAAAGCATGAATATTTCAACTTCAGTGCGTAGTCTTTTTTATTCACTGATTTTATTTTATTTTGCTGTGAGCATTTTGGATATTAATGATTTTATTCTGTTTTACAGGAGGGGTTCAAAATGGGACTAACTCTTGAAGGCACAGTATTTTGTCTCGACCCATTAGACAGTAGGTGCTGACATCAAGAACAAGAAATCCTGATTCATGTTAAATGTGTTTCTATACACATGTCATTTATTATTACTTTAAGATAGGTATTATTCATGTGCCAATATGTTTTTTAATATTTTAATATTTTGAAATTTTTTTCAGTTAAATTTCCTCACCTTCACTATTGATCTATAATTTTTATTTTAAAAACAACTTACTGTAAAGTAGATCATACTTTTATGTTCCTTTCTGTTTCTACTATATGAATTTGTAATTGAAAGACATATACAAATACCTGCCTTGTGTCTGAGTTCTATTTAGTTAGCATCTTGAAACTTGTATCCATTTTCCAGATTGCTGGTTTATTAATGATTTCCCAAAAGCCATACCTTAAAGATAACTTTTTAAATTCTGAAGAGATATGCCAATGCCAAACTAAACATGGTCTGTTTTCAAACCAACAAACATGTTACTATTCATTAGACAGATGTCATTTTATGTATAAATACTGTTCACATCACTGGGAAAATGTAAACTTTAAACATAATGCCACAAGGTCACTAATTTCTAGCAGGTAAAATTATAAGGATATAAATTCCAATAATAAACCAAATGTATTTAGAGTATTTATTAGTAAATGCAAGGTGATGTTAGTTATGATCACTTATACTCTAAATATTTAATTTGTTTTATAAAGATAATGAAAAAATGAAAATTTGCTATTTATTTAAAAAACTTTAAATTTCATTCCAAATGAGATAAGTTATATTACTATAACATCTAAGCATCATCTGATTTGATATTCCCTAAAAAACATTTGGAATATATGCTATCTATAGATTCAGTGTCTATTATCCATATTTACTTTACCAAATATATTTCTTCTCACTACATAAGGACTACTCTTCTCATATTTTCTTCTTTGATGAAGATATTTTTCACCAAAGTTTATTTTGTGATGCCCCATTGGTTTTGATACTTTAAAATCTGTGACACCCATTCTATATGAATTATCAATATTATTTGGTAAATTCAATTTGTATTTGTTTTGTTAAAGTCAAAAATCTCATTTAAAAAAAACCTTGTTACTGCTCAGTTTAGTCTTGAACATGAGCAATAAAATTCTCCTGCATTTCATTCTTGATGTGCTGATGAACTTAGACTTTTAAAAATATTTGTTTCCTATACCTTTACCCATTACATAACAGACTAATTTGTACTCAGTAAAGCAAAAATTTATGATCAAAATTTCTAACTTGGTTCATCACATTATAAGATAAATAAATTAAATTAATGAAAATGTGACTTAAATTAGGGGTAACCCTCAAAAATAGATTTATCATTTACTCACGGGAATTTTCTTCAAGTGTTAAAGGTACATTTTCACTAGGAAAAGAAATCAAATATGCTTATGCAATATATATTTGTCTGTTTTTCCTTAATGTTATATGGTATATATGAGCCTTCTTGTTTAGTTTCTTTTATCTGCTAAGTTGTACCTTAATTAGAGGACAATATATGTTTCATAAGGAAGAGTCTTTATAATTTTGTTTGTCAGATAGTATTTTGGAATTTGTATAATGAGGATGTTTAGAAGCCATATAAGTGGCTTTTTTTAACAGATAGAATTTGTATTTTTATTGTACTTTAAAAAGATTTATGTAATAGGTATATATTTAGTGGCCATTTATTATCAATGGTAACACAATAGAGTACTGAGATGGTATTTGCACATTTAAGATCTGTTACTTTACCAATTTTTAATGGTAATCAACTCTGCTACTGGCATGATGAAATAGTACATAATTGGTCATTAATTATGAACATTTATTTCTCCAGTGCGTTTTTATGAAGATCTGGTTGAAAATTGTATTTCTATGTAAACTCAATGATATGTTTGGTTTTCCTGAAAATAAATGATTTTAAATAAATTAAATTGCATAATTCATTTGTTAAATAATCTGTAATTAATATAGGCACATTCTGAAGCTAATTATGTAACAGATTTTCTTGATCATAAATGGTGCTAAAAGAAAGGGAGAGAGTCAGAGAGAAAGGCAAAGAAGAAATAAAGGGCTTTACCTTTAACTTCATTTCTTGCAGCCCACACACATTTTAGCTTTATGAGCAAATGTCATTCAGTTGTGAAAACAGTGGACTGATCCTGCTGGTGAGAGAGGTCATGATTTGCTTCCTTTTACCAGAAGCATCTGGTGCAAAAACTGTATTATGTAAATATCAATTTCATAACTGGAGGCTTTTTTTAACTTAGCAGTAATGCAAAGGGTGTCTTGGCCGACAGTTTTATAAAGGTGGAACTTGATAATAGGATGCGGATTATGACTAAGAGTACAATCATGAAGAAGTTTTGAATCAATTTAAAACACGATGTTAAGTATTTTATGGACACGGGACTCACATGCACAGCCTTTGAACACCAAGGAACAATTCATCAATTCATTCCATAAAATTCATTTATTACTCACTTTATATGAATAACATGTACTTTATGGGGTAAGAAAACATCTAGCAAGTTTGCTAACATGTGTTAGCAGGTAGCGTTAAATTGACAGGATCCCTGATTTCAGTCAGTTTATTGTCATAAAGTAAAAGTATGAGAAGCATATAAGTTAATGAATAAAAGCCAATATGTATTACAACACTGTGTGAACCAAAAACTTCCCCAGGAACACTTATATTTAAGCATGTTTAAGTCTGGGTACCTCGTACTGGCTGATGTCAGCTATCAGACATCCAGTGTGAAGTTTATCAGAATAGCCCAATGGCAAAAATTTTCTTCATCTCTTTTTGTTCTTTTATTTGGATTTGGATTTTTCCTTAAAAAATGAATAATATTATGGGAATGTATTTTCAGTAGGATTTCTGATAGATAATATGTTGCATTTCTAAATACTGATTTTTTTTATTCGTTTTTATGTTACTTAGCATAACCCTGAAAAAACTGGCTGTTAATGTTTTTCTATTCCAATGTTTCCACATATGCTTCCAGATTCAATATTTACTCATGATTTTGGGCTTCATCCTCTGTTAAATTACTTGAAGAATCTTGGAGTCATTTTTGACAACTGAATTTCAGACTCCACCTAAACTACACCCTTTATAGGGAGCTCATAAATGTGATGGTCACAGTTGGAATTGCCCTTGGACCCCTGTGTCTCATGCAGAAAGTGTCTTCTTCCTATATAACTTCAGACAAATATTTAAAATCTCCCCCCTCTAATGTCCATCTCACAAATTTGACACAAACTTTAATTCTTGTACATTTATTTCGTGTTTTGATCTTTTGTTGTTAAGGTCCGTGATAATCCACTAATGAAACTCCTTCCCCAAAAGCATAATTTCTCTAGAATTCCAAGTGGGATTTTCTTAATCTAGCAAGAACACAACCTCCTAAAATCATTCATGGTCTATTTTCTTGCTTTCAAAATACAGTTTAAGAAATACGAATATTATGTAAGTAGCAGACAGTATTGTCTTTCTCTGGATTCATTTTGTTCTGCTCTACTTCTTAGCTTCTAATCAATACTTCTAATCAATACTATGCCAATTCTAATGGCATACTTAAGAAGGAGTTGAGATTAAAGGCTCACTTTCCATTTTTCTGACATTACATGATAAATTGAAATAACCAAATTTCTTATTTCTGTATCATTAACATTGTGTTTTTTGTCAGTTAATAGTACCACCAAGACTATGTAACACAAATTTTGTAAAAATTTATTTTCTTTACCTTAGCTGTATTTTTGGCATTCATTCAGATCTACATGCCAAGTTCATTGAACCAAATCTTCTAGTTTTCAAGCAATTCTATAGACACCTTGGAATATTCATTAAGACTTTTAAAGGTTTATGTTTTCATTCAAGAAGGCCTGATTAGAAGCTATAGAAGTTGTCTTCTTAAAAATATTTTCCAGTACCTGCTGGAATAACAAAGTTCTCCAAGAAAGAACACTCTGAAATCTCATATTTTCTTAGTACCTTGGACATAATCAACTTATGGTAGTATATTTTGTAAAATCAATAAGATATTGTCTAAGAAACATCTTTCTTTTTGTATTTTTAATAAAACATTTTTTAAAAAGCTTTGCTCTCCATTTTTCAACCATTTTGAAGAAAGTATTGCCTTGACATCCTTCCTCTTTGTTACCAAGTACAACACTTTGTCCAAAAGCATTCATTAAAAGATTGCATATTTATTTAGATGCTTCTTGCTAATGATGTGAACTTAAATGTTTTATGTTCTCTTAGAAAAGAACAGCATGCCTTCAAATAAATGTTGGGAGAAGATAACCATTATCTAATTTCCAATAAAATATTTATTATTATTTTAACTTCTATTGTAGCAATAATTTGCTAAATAAATCTCTTAGTAATTATTGAAGTTTGTCTAACAATCACCATAGAATCATAGACTAAGGAAGTCTGGCCCAATTGATAGAGGAAAAAAAAAATAATGGTTACTTAGTGTCAAAGAGGCTATGACGATTCAAACATGAATGTTATGTAATTAAGAGACAGGGCCCGTGCTCACGGGGATAGATATATATATAGCGTGTATATGAAAGAATGACAGCTAAAAACTAACTTTTCTTGAATCCCATATTGTGGTCACACAGGTTTTACTGGTTTGACATATTTTTAAGTTCGTATTTCTGTCCTTAACTTTTTATTGTCCTCTTATTTCAAATGAGCTTTCAGAAGAACATGTTGGGGTCCTTCCCAACTGCCTACTCCCTCCCCTCTGTCTGGCCAGGCTGTTATGTTCTAGTCTGTTCCAAAGGTCACTTGTTCCAGTTGAAATAGCTGTCTGGATGGCTTGGAACTAATCCAGACACTGGTTCTTTCCTGCAGAGAAAGCAAAGATAGATGTTTGTTTCTTGGCTACATTTTGAAGGGAAAAAATAAAATAATTTTATGGCTGGACCATGCTTTTAAAAGATCATATAATTCTAGAACCCAGTTAAAATTGTTATTATTTTCCAATATTTTGTGTCTATTTTTATTTTTATATACTTTTCAAAATCAATTGTTTAGTATCAGTATCATTAGGTAAATAGGCAGTCGTGTGTCAGAAGTATATACAGATACATTTTGGTACATTTTAATTAACTACTAATCTCTCTCTCCTTTCTCACATACATACACACTCCATTTAACTATTCAGTTCTTTATTTATGTTATTCTTAGTAGCTGCTTTAACTAAAGAAAAATAAACTTGAGTCAGACTAGACAGTACAAGGAATGGAGGAGACAGGTAGTGAGGGGATACTCATAAATCTTCATAGATATCAACTTACCCACACTTGGCAAAGTGGCTGTGTGCACATATTTGACCTCTTCATTTTTCAGACAAGTTGAACCATTTTCGGACCAGGGAGTACTAAGAATGATGCAGTTATCTGAAAAGTTGTTTCTACAGTGATTTCTCTTTAATCTCCCCTAGTTTCCTCATAATGCCTGCAGTTGTTGTCTTTTCTACATAAAAGGAATTAAACAGAAAAATTGCTAAAAATAAGCTGGTTACTGTTTCATGACTTCCAGCCACCAATGGCAATTAGAAAAACAAATATTCCTTCCTTGAAATCACTTGAGTTTCTAAATTTCTAAACCATACAGCTCTTGAAATTTTAAGTAACTTTTTAAAAGATTACTTACAATGAACAAAGCCAGATCTACAGGGAACTGTTGAACTAAATTGTAGCACTCTATGCTTTGATGTCACAGCTTTGCTTACAGCATTAATTCAACATTCTTTGACTTTGGGAAATTCATGTAATGGGGTTTTATGTCCCTTGACATTCACAAGCATTAGCCATTCTTGGCATAAAGAAAAAGGAAGAAATTCCCCCAAATAAACCTAAGATTTAAAAAACAATTATCAGAAGAATCATGTATTTTACATTCTTTAACTTGCCTACTAGTTGTAAATAAATATCGAATCAATGGCTTCTAAGTAAATAGTGTATCTGGCTCAGAATTAGAGATAATAATAGTCTTGAGAAAAAGGACAGGAGGGATCACAAAAATGTTCAAGCCTTTGAATCTCCTTATTGTAGAAATATTTTATGTAAACTATTTCTCTTCATAACACTCAAAGTTGAATGCAGGGCAAAAGTATCATTCTCTCTTTTCTCAACCTTTCTTACTCCTAGGTACACATTTAAAGACAGACCTCAGCATATATTTACACTGGAAAAATGGAGCCTGTGTTTCTCTACAAAAGTATTAATGGCCTGTCACATTTTCAGGATGACTTCAAGATGAATAAGGCATGTCTCAAAAGAATTCCAGGGCTCCCCCTCTTTCCAAGTGAATATTAAACCTTGAAAATGCCAGCAAAAAAAAAGAAAAAGAAAAAAGAAAAAAGCTGAAACATACAAGATAATACTACATCGAAACACCAAAACACAAGTATTCTTACATGTACTCACATGGATAGAAATATTTAGATTCACAGAGAAGTTGTCCTATACTGGGATTTCTCAGGAACTTGCATGTATATGCTTAGGTTTTGTAATGTGTGTGAATATGAATATTAGAATACTTTCTTGAAATAGATTCAAATAAAACTTGCCTTTGACATGTTGAGTTACACTCTTTGAATGGCCTTTTTGGTAGTTTTCTTGTTTATTTTACCTGTAAAGGGAAGGGAAATGCAGAGAATATAAAAGTCCTCAGCATGGTGTTAAATCTTCCAAAGGCAGCATTGCCCTGTGCATTTCTCATCATTTTGCATCCCTTAATCCTTAATCATAGAGCTGAAGCTAGAGAAAACAGCTGGCCCTGAAAACCACAAAGGGCTCAAGTATTTATTATGTTATGCAAATTGATCAAAACTCTTCAACTTTTTAGAAAATAATTTACAAAAAGAAAGAAACCTAAAACAGTACTTCTTAACAAACAGTTCAACTTTGT